CTTATAGGCAGCACTTAAGAGTTCCTAGAGACAGCTCTGCCTCCTGCTTTCAGAGTTTGGAGAGGGAAAAAATAAACAAAAAAGCCTCAAACCAGTAGGAAAATACATACATGGGCTCCACTTAAACCAGAAAAGCAGCCTGGATTTCTACCATGGAATTATGGCCTCTACTTCCTTACAGAAAAAGCCAAACAGTGTCAGAACATGACTTTATTTTTTGGGCCTCATTACTCAGTTCCCAGTGCTGAAGTTTTCCATTGTGCCAAGTTTTCCTAGTTCCACACTCGAGTGTTTCCCAGAGCAGCACAGCTCTGAGGTTTCTTGGGAGCCTGAATGCCATCAGAAAGTACTTGGAGTTAGGTAAAGGTAGAAATGTTCCAGGGCTGATGATTTTCAAGTGCAAACAAACCATGACATAAATGCTGCCAGTGACTTCCCTGGGCCTTTCCCCTGAAAACAACCCAAAAGAGCTAACTTGAAATAAACCAAAGCTCCTTTTTTTACCTCCTTAATATACCACATGACTGACAAAACTGCTGTGAGCTAAAAGCACCAGTCCACTGTCCCATTTCTGAGGCTCTGAATGTTTTTTCTTGCTCTGGTGCTGTGCTCACTCATGTTGAGAGCTCTGCGGGTCTCGCAGGTCCAGCAGCACGGCCTGTGTGTCTGCACAGCGCTGGTGTGGGGAAAACCAGGGGGGAAAAGGGAGAATGTGGAAAATCCAACCTGCCCCTGCTTGTGGCAGGTTCTGAGACAACTGAAACCAGCACAAGCAGCTTCTCATCAGAGCAAAGCCTGGCCTACTTCAGTGCCTGGCTGTGGGTGACTCATTTCAGGAGCTGTGTGCTCTCACGGCGCTAACCGAAGGAGTTAATCCTTGCAGATTTGGCCACAAAGTCTATGTGTAAGGCTCGAGGTCCCATGGGCTCGATTGCATAAGAAACCATGTATTGTGGCATTTAGTTGATCATGCACTACTTCTTCTGGTCACATGGAGGCTTGATTTCCCCTTGCAGCAGCTACGACAGACTTTTTTACATTCATCTGTGCTGGTCTCTGACTGTTCAGTTCACCAGGGTCATCCCCTTCGCCCCACACCAGAGCCTGTCGCAGGTTCCTGGCCCAGAGGAGCTTATTCCATTTTCTGTAGGATCATCTCCGAGAAACCAAGTGCTTTGCAATTCTTCTCATTTGTGTCTGTGCGTAACAGGTGTCATTTTCAGCGTAGTACAGACAAATCCCAAAATAGCTCAGGCTCTTCAGACGCTGCGAAGAGAAAAAATAGTGGTTACTTCAGCTTTGGTTGTAGTGAAAAACCCAACGCTCACAGGCAGCTCTGAAGTGGGAATTAAAATGGCAGATGTAGCCGTGGAGCAGTGATCTCTCTCTGGGCTCTGTGTTTGCAAATGGACTGCTGCCTCCCTGCTTTGTGTCCACACACCAACTCCCTCACACGCTGCTGCCTCTCCATTAGCTCCTCTGGTTCCCAGCAGCTCTATCTACCACGGATCCTCCTCCACACTTTCCGGTTTTCAGGCTCCAAGCTGGGAGAGCATTGCTTCCCCTGCCTGGTGCTGAGCTTTGACCGGAGGCACCGGAGTTAATGCGGAGGATTTTGGGGGGCAGAGGCAAGGAGAGAGTGTTCAGCTGCAAGATTCTTCTTGCCTGGTGACGCCTGCTGTGCTGAAATACAGAGCTGCTTGTGGACTGTCTTTGTCAGGGATTATTGGATTCTGGTGACTCCAGGAACGCAGTTATTAGTTCTCCTGCCTACGCTGAGCGTTTTGAATCTGTGTGTGTGATAACACTTATTAATACTGCTCAGATTAAGCAGATCCTATAGCCTTCCAGCGCTTGCAGTACCTTATCTCACACCGTGCATCTGCCCAGCAGCTGAACCACGTTCAGATCAATGTCTTGTGGCCAGCAGAGCAGGGTCTTGTGGGGCCAGCAGTAGCCTCCTGCCCACAGGACCTGCATTTATTCACAGCAGCAGCTCCTTTTAAGCTGCCTTGTGCTCCAGGGTATCTGCCTGCTGAGGATTTGCAAGACATAGGCCTGAAAGATTTTATTTTAGGAAGTCAAGTCATGGTTCCTGTCACCGAAACAGTTAATCAAAAAGCACTAACTCTCCACTGGAACGTGTGTGTGCGTGCGTGTGTGTGTGTGTGTGTGTTTTTGTTTTTTAGAGCCAAGAAGATTTGCTTTGGTTTTTTTAAAGCAGAAACCACCACAAAGTTGGCTGTGGTTTCAGCTGCTCTCGCTCGAGATTTGTATTGCTGACTACCAATCCTAAAAGAGTTAACCTGGTAAGTATGACTCAGAAGCAGAGAAGGAGATGCGAGGCTCAGAGCCTCGGAGGAGGCACAGAAACAGAGGTGAGGTAGAGAATAATCGCCAAAAAAAAGGTGCAGAGTCCAAGAGCGACGTTCCCCTCGGCTTGCCTGGCCCTGGCACCGCTGGCACGGGCTCCCTGGAAAGCTGCAGTTCCGCTCTTATAACACAGGGAGCAGGCTGGAGAATTTAGAGCTGCGTCACAGAGCTCAGCGAGAGAGTGAGAGAGCAAGCTCCGTCGATAGGTCTACCAGCAACAGCCCTGCTGCAGCAAGAGGGGAGAGAGGCAGCAAGAGAGGCACAGAGGGCTCCAGAAAGAGAAGTACCACCAACCCCAGGGACGGGGCCCCTGCCACCATCCACTGTCATTTAAAGACCGTGTTCGGGCTCGGTTGGCGTAGGAGGCTTCGCCCATTGACGATGATGCTGGAGACCCGGCGCGCTTAATCCCGCGGGGAGGGAGAGTGGGCAGACACCGCAAGGGTTAACGGAAAGGAAATTTCTGGAACCTTCTCTTCTGCGGCGCTCCAGAGCGAGCGGAGGGCTGAGGACTGCGCAGATGGCACACGGGCACAGCTCTCCGGTCCGGCTTCGCCTCCCTCACGTATGTACCCTTTGATCAGGATGGGGCTCGAGCTGCAGCTACGTTATTTCAATGCTTTGCAGGGTGTCCCTCTCCCCCGGCGTCCCTAAGTTCGGATCCCAAAGTGCCTCTCTTATTATTTTGGCTGGGTATGGTTGCTCTGTTCTGCGTCAGAGCTGTTTTCTCAATGGAACGACGGCGCAGGTTGTACTAATGTCACTCCTGCCGGCATTGCTGTGCTGCAGAGGAGGGTAGTAGTCGTGGGGGAGAGATGACAACTTTGCAAAGACTGCTGTTTTCCTGTTTTGTTTGGGCTTTTTATTCCCCCCCTGGCTGCCTGCAGGCTGGCATCTGGGCCAGGGCTTTGGTGGAGGGGTTAACAGGCGCCCGGCGGCTCAGAGCTCGGAGGTTTGTCACTGCGTAGTTCGGAAAGTGGTAAACGGTGACGCAGTGATCATTGCAGGGCATGTCGTCCAGTTTTTAAAAAGCACTGGGGACAGGTAGACGGTGCCTTCCAGACGCTTCCACAACCAGCTGAAAGGGGTTAAAGATGAGTCGAGACGGGAAGCTAGCATTTAGGGATTAAATGTCATCATTTTGGCGTTGGAAAGTTGTTTACCTTGCTCTCTCCGTGTCTCCATGCTGGCAGGCGGCCAGCTCACATGTGATAGTCTTCCCTGTACTGCTGCATCATTAACTAAGTGGCAGAGTCG